CTCAGTCCATCAGCTACTGGACAATAATTCAGGGCCCAGCTGTAAGAAAAACAGATGGTGAGTGAGCATTAGTAATGTGGACTTCTTTTCACTCATGCAGTCATAAGCAGAGGTTGTATGTTCTCACATGAAAACTGCCATGAAATTGCAGAGCGAGGAACAAAACTGTGCAAAGACTCCAATTTGTAAGCTCACAGATGCCTACAATTTTCATAAGCTAAGGTCAGATTAACTGATCTTACAGGAGAGCCACAGAGTAAACGGGTACTATAAATGGACTAGTAAAGAAAGGCAGTGTTCTCATGATAGATTTAAACAGTGTCATTATAAAATATCAGTTACTGAATTCAACTAACATACCTGATCTTTGAAGGCTCACTGAAGTACAAAATGCAAAAGACACATATTTAGAACTGTAACTCCAATTGTGGCATTTAGCAACTGATGTGCTTGTGCTCTATAAAAGGGGTAAACCGTAGGCAGGAATTGTCCATCCATTCTAATTCTCAACATAACTTTAGCACAAAGATAATCTGTTCTAATCCTTATTCCATTATTGATGCTATTGACTACATCAACTGAAAGTGCTACCAAATAAATCAACATTGAATTAAGCCATGAAGAAAGAATGTGATAAAGTCTTTTGGGCTCCTATAAATCATGAGATCCAGAAGCATGACATAAGTAACTGAGTGGGGAATTCATCTTTTCTCTATAGTCATAATGCTTAAGGCCCAAATAAAATTACACTAATTGACCATGTAAGCACTAATGGAATAGCTGGGGCAGAGATGGAGAGTTTGCTGGGGTTTGTTTTGTTTTCATGGTGGATTCTTTTCACCATTGATACGAGAGCTGTATCGTGAACTACTTTCTTGTTAAAGACAGAAAAGGTTGATATTGAAGTTTCAGTTCAATTGTTTTCGATCTGTGAATGTCCACTATGAGCAATTGCTCCATTTAAGAGGAATTACCCTTAGTACAAACCACTTCACTATTCAAAACAAAGCACATCTATTACCATTAAACAGAAAGAAAAAATTACCAATTTTAAAATAATGACAGCAGCACTGCACACAGTGACATGGAATATTACGTGATGTTTCAAAACCACGGCTAACTTTGTTACTTTACTCAGAAAGTTATAGCTAAATAACCCTATGTCCAGGCAAGTATCTATCACAGGGAAACATCAGTTACAGAACTAAGCCTCCATTAATACACACTAAATCCCAATTTACAAGCAGTCAAAAATTTGCTGCAAAAATTACTTCCTGCTAGCACTTGATTTAAGTTTGTGGTCAGAAATTATTTCTTGCATCGATGCGTGCTAATAAGAAGGAGAAAATAGATGTATTTAGCTGTTGCTAACACCATGAATATTCTGAAACGATAGGGTGCACTGCAAATCCGAGTTCCCTTTTCCTGTATCTTTAAATATTGACACTAGTCAAAATTCTAATCCAAACGCATCTACTCTTTTCCCAATTGTCCCTATCTTTATCATGATACAGTAAAAACTTGCAGATCAAACCCATATATCCTCCTTCTGTTTGTTGCTGCCACCAATATAATCATTTCAGTTCTAACGTTTGAAAACTCTTTCTGGATTTCTGAAGCTAGAAGCGTCTTAGTAAGAGAAGAGCCAAATAATTTCAGACCATTTCAAATAGCTTAACTACCTTGGAAGCATCCTTCAGTTTCTGTTGTCTTTTTCCAGTGAATATCTGATTAATAGTTCATCTATAATGTGAACTAGGCCTCTGAACTTTATTTATTTTCAACTTTATTTTCAACACTTAGGCTTAAATGTTTTTAGGTATAGCATCCTGTATTCACAAACTGTTTTTTAAAAAAACCTCAGTTCCCCACTAAGCTCTTAAAACATTACATACAAACATAATCTGGCAGGTATCAGAGCAAATACTTAAGTTTCTAACACTGAACAAAGTAGTAGAGCACTTCTGTAGGTATGCTGTGGAAAGCAATCTATCCATTTATACTAAACAAACTGACCAAGCAGCATTAGTTCAGCAAATAAGTAACAGCCAATTCCAAGTGACTACCAAAAAACGACTTTCCCAAATGATTACTACAGCTCCCCAGAAAACCACTATCATTATGGCTACATAAATATTTATTGTCAGGAAGACTCATTTGCCCATGTTGAGAAGAACCTGATGCCTTCTATAGTCTTTCAGAAAAGACCTATCCAATTATCAAAGTTACATGTGACAGAATACTAGGGTATATACTAGATACACATAAAACCAGAGAACAAATATTTTCGCAGATTCTAAATAGTAAGTTTTAAAAACTAAGAGCTCACTTGTAATACAAATGTCTGAATTAATTTTAATTGAGGTGCAAGGGAGCAGACATATCTGAAGTGCAATTTGTAGAGGAAAAAAATCCTCGATATGTTCACACAGTGTCTCTATACTGCTGGTCACTGGGTCCACAGGCAGGGGGGGAATCATTAGTTATTAAATTGCCAGATAAAGCTCTTAGGTTACCAGTATTTAAGATCAATACACAACTTTATAACATCTACAGTTTCAATGAAATAGTGATATGTGCCCTGAACATACAAATCTTTTTGTAGGTTTATTTGAAATTATCAGAGATGGGAAAAAAACAACCACCCCAAGTAGACTGGCATGGTAGAAGTTTATTCATGATTTTCAAAAAGGTAAAACCACTTCTTAGTCTTTCCTATTTAAAACTAGAACCATGTTATGTTAGGTTTGGAGGTGATGTTACCACAGTACCATCTTTCTGCCTGAATAATTCTGAGATAAATTGTTGCTGAAGAAATACTTAATCAAATACGCAAAATAATAAATCATATCTGAATGAAGATGAAAATTATCTGACTCCCTAGGAGTCCAGAATATCTAAAATGCCAACCAGCGATCAAAAGAAGCAACAAGCAGAAAATTTTAAACCTGCCAAAATTATTATCAGGAATTCAGATGACTTTTTAACTTTAAATATAATTGTGATTACTAGAGGCAGAATGATTCTAAACTGACAATAGGATTAACCAGGCGAGAAAGCCAACACTTAAAAAAAAAGAAAAAAGATACTCTCAGTGTGCCAGTTAATCCACTTAAAGAGTTAAAAATTATCCGCTAGATACAGCACTCTGTGAAGTGCATTTGCAATCACTTCTCATCTTTCTCTCAAATGGAAGAGATGGAATTGAATTCAGTATTTTAAAGTAATCATTATGGTTGCACAGTTTCTTAAACCTTAAAGCAGTGCTATACTATAGATGTGTTTGCATAATGATACTGCAATACCTCATACAGGAAGGTTATTATAGCACCTAATCTCATCTTTAAGTTATCTTTTATCAGCTCCTTGTGTGGCCATGTTGACCTCTCACCTTAATTCACATTTTTCCTTCCAAAAGCTGCATCTTTAACATACATATTGCTGTTTGCCAAACTCAAATGAACAAATCCAACAAAACACAGGAGTACATTTTGTGTACTATCAGTAAGTGCACAAGTCACACTGGATCATTAAAACTCATTTACAAACGTAATTTCTAAAACATATCCAGAATACAAAACTACTAAGAGCATGCATTTTAGTTAAGACATGCAATTTCTTTAAATATTAAATACATCATATTTATCTGATGCATATTTTAATTGCAGACATACGAATCCCTCCCACATACATGTATAATCTAGGGCGTATACAAGAATCTGTTATTATGCACTCACTCCCATGCTGTAAGTTAGAAATGGTTTATCCTACACTACTGAAGGAGAAGAAAAAAAAAGGCTACAGAAGGGTTTATATTCTGCAAATACTTGAGTTCTATTCTTTCAGCAGTAATAGAAAACCAATATTCTGAAATAAAAATAAGCTTTATTTTATCTCATCTTTAGGAACAAAAAGAAATACTGTAAAACATCATTCAGGCATTTGTAAATACAGAAATAAAGTTAGAGACTGTTTCATGGAAGTCATTATGCACATAAACTATTGTAGGGGAAGTTGGAAGAAATGCCCCTATTTGTTACAGTAGGCACAAGATTTTTTTTTTCTCTGAAGTTTCAGCAGAAAGTAACAGAATAAACAGGATTAATCTTTTTTGCATTTTAAAATATTTCTGTTGTGGCTCTACATGCTTACTAGATGACTATCTGTAATGGTTGACTCAGTTATAAAATAGAGAACCAGAATACAATCACGATTCCAAAATACTAGTTTAAAAAAAGAATGTGTTATTATCCAGTTATTTATTTCATGTCATAACAGAGAGAGGGTACCAAATAATAAATAACCGGAGAAGGAGAGGGGTGGAAATATTTAGAAAAAAACCCAAAACCCTGAGGCAAAAATTATATGAAATTAATTAGAAAAAATAAAATCTTAAAAATGGACTAGAAATTATTATTTTGCTTGATATCAGAACATTTTTTAAACCCATTCCAATATACTTCAGTGATAGAGGTATTATTTCTGCACAGATACAGCTTTATCAATTTTTTTTTCTTTTTTCTTTCATGAACTAAAAATAAGCTTGATTTTAATCAGCAGCATGTTTCACACAGACTTAAAATTCCTGGCTTCAAAGAAGGCTTAAACAAAATTGCCATTGGGCACATTTACATTAGAAGTATAATTTATGCCTGCAAGTGAATAAAGAGCAGTCCTTTATGGCTGAAACTCTGCAACAGTATCCATGAGAAATGCAGTCAAAGTACTGTGTTAAATATCTATAGGCAGCACCAATAAAGTCATTTTAAAAAAAAAAAAGAAAAAAATAAATGAAAGATACGTAAAGGGCTTTATGCTCTGTTAAAACATATTTTCTACTCACTCTCACCATTCTTAAGTGCAGGCACAACAGTCACTCCACACAGTGGGAGACATTTATACAGTCTATTCACAAAATATATATCTCCAACATTACAAATCTCCAAAATGATGCTGACAAAGCAGGCACTATAGGAAAAGAAAAAGTTAAGCAAACTTACCTGCTGTAAGTACATAAAAGTCAAGGCACAGGAGAGCTGGGGACACATGCCCACATTCGGCAGTGCCACGCAGGTTGCACCCGTAAGGGGATGCTGCATGGTGTTGCTCTGAAGTCTACGTAGAACAAGTGAGGGGGCTTGCATGCAAGCACGTTTGCCCTATCTTGTCACTACGTTTTTTCCCTTTTGATTATTTAAGTAAGAAACAGTTTTCTTGAATGCCTTTTCCTCCCCAGTGCTAGATCCCTACATTCATTTGTCAGCTAAGGCAACTTGGTAGATTTAAACTACGAATTTTTAACACAGAGGGAAAAAAAGAAGACACAGCCTGCAGCCTATTGATGAGCAAATGGAACTTCCTCAATGACAGAGAGCTGAAGCTTGTCTCACAACAGTAGCTGCTGACTAGTAGAGAGAGAGAGAGATTGACTCAGTGAGGCTCAGTCGGCTGGTGCTGATGCTGCACAGCTTCTCATTTGTCAAATGGGTCCTAGGGCAGGGTCTTTACCACTCACCAAAATTCAAATACTGCATTTTAAAAATCCCTGGAGAGGATAGGGAAGGAGAAAAAGTGAGCGCGCTGCATCACAGGCATCCATGAGATCTGGGCAATTAGTGTCATTGCCCAGCTGGGACTGAATGCCTGTTATGATTCTGCACGCACACGTACACACTCACACGCGCACTTTTTTTTTCCCCTCCCAGGACTCACACCTGACATAAAAAGGGCTTTTCCCTTCCAAGAACAAAAGTATGAAACACAAAGTGGGAAAGTGAAAGAATCTTGGCTACTCAAAAGGATTCTAGTAAATACACAGTGCTGTCAGTAGATGAGTTTTTTAAAATACACATTAATTTTGTATCTATGTTTCATTCACCATCACCAGAGAAGCCTATAAAAGCATTACAGTGAAACTGTGAAACGTATGTGTAACCACTGCAGCAGAAACACTAGGAATAAAACTAAATTCTGTGGCACACTGTATCCACTTTACTTGGGGGAGGGAGACAGGCTTGGATAAAGACTGGATCTTAAAATTAGTCTAAACCCCGTCTCATCTGAAATTACAAATGTATTTGACAGCTAGTCAATCTATTCTAAAGAACTGCCCTATCAGGTTACGTGGAAAAATTACAGTTGCAGTTTCCAGAATTTAATGTTTACTTTTTACTTTGAGGGGGATACCTCAAATTAGTATTCCACTCTTGCAAGCTTTTTCTCTCTCCCCACCCCCTTTTATGGAGTAATAATTATTCATTAGTAGATCTAGTTAGTCTTTATGTAATAAAGCAGGATGTGACCTGCAAATCAAATAATTTATATTACAGCTTGTCCTTGAGGTTCTATATTACAGGTTGGGGTTTTTTTTTTTAACTCCTTAGACACAACTTAAGTATAACAGAACCCTATCTTTAATTACAATTTGACAAATGAATTAAATATTAATTCTTCAGGAAAGGTCAAACCTCAAAGCACCATCTAAGCTTTTGAAGGGGTTCCTTTTAAAAAGACTGCAGAAAATTTTAAAATTACCTATTTCTTAGGATATTAAGACTCCCACAAAAAAACACACCTTAGATCAACAGTGTAATGTTAACAACAATAAATAACCCACACGCAAAAGAAGCCTACTTCATCAACTGCATAACTGGTTTCATATTAAGATCTACCCTTAAAAACAAATAATAGTCCCCCCTTCACTGGAAACAGATACAAAACATGTCACTGCAACTCAGCCACTATATTAAAATATTCCTTTTTATTGTGCATGTGCGCACACATACCTGCACCCACAAAAGCTTCAGAGACTGATTTAGATCCACTAAGTCTTCTTCATGCAAAACCGACAATTTTCCAGTAGAATCAGTTATTACATAAGTTTCTTTTCAAAAGCAGTCAATACAACAAACCCAATGTATTTACAACTCAGCAGTCAAAACCAAAACAATAATGCACAAACTTACAATATAGGGATTGCAAGCTTAAGAAGCACGCATGCTTTTTCAGTTTATCAGGGACTGATCTACTAGAACAGCCCAGATAAAGTGATCTGTGCTGTTCTGTATGAGAAAAAAAAAAAAACCAAAAACCAACCCACAACCAAAAAACACCCCAAACCACCCCAAACCCAAAAAATAAACCACCAACATAAAACCCCACACACACCACAAAGCAGGAGAGAGAGAAGGAGGCGAACCAAAGCCTCTCTCTGCCCTTTCTCCTTTTTTCATTCTTTCTCTTTTCCTTCAGCAGTCTGACAGGAGTATGTCATGCTTTTCTTCATTTTTTTTCTTTTTTTTTTCCCTAGCACAGAAAGGCTGTTATTCTGCAAATGACCTAAGCTGATAGAATTTTCCCTTCAGCTCATTTTCATATGAAATACCATAAATAATACATGGTACTTTAATCAGACCTTATCAAAATGTTTAATGAAAAACAAATACGTTATGTAAGGAGGCAAATAACCAACTCGTTCCACATTATGTCAGATCCAAAGGCAACATGCTTCCAGCCAAACTGTTTGAACTATATAAATCTATCCAATTTCCCAAAGTGAAGTTCTGGAACATGGTGATGGTCAAGCAAAGTTTCTTCTGTCTACTGCACTATTTTACGGCTAAAAGGACATCCATAAAACAGATTAAATTCTTACAAGAAGTGTGTTGAACAATTACTTCAAGAGAATTTAGTAGCGTAAATGGAGCTAATACTAATTGTAAATTTCTCATTGGTCTTTTGTCCTTAATTTTCACACATTTCAAAGTAAGAAAAATACGACCCCAAATACTATTAATTTGTTACAAATGTATATTCATATTATTAAAACAAGAAAATCAATGTTTTAACTATCCAAATCATCTCTACACAGAGAAACAATAGATAAACATACATAATTCAGTAGTGTACAAGACCTAAAAAAGAAGCAAAACTCCTGAGCCTGATATACGCTACTTCAAGAGATGCAGGGCAAAGCCATTATCAGTTTTCATCCCATCCAAACATAACTTGTCATTATATCGAAAAAGAAAAAAGGTAACAAAATGTGTTTTATTTTTATAAGAATAAAATCGATGTCTTTAAAGCCGTTTCCTTGTTTGTAGACACTCTTCTACCAAATCCAACCCATTAATCATAACCACATTCTAACTTATGGCTATATATACAGTAAGTCCCACCACAAGTTTGCCAAAGATCCATGAATGACTATACACAGCCTGACCTTCTATCCTCATGCACACTGACAGTATCATTGTAACTACAATGCAATTTCACAGAACAGCATATAACCCATCAGTATCTCATCTGCAAATTATTAACACCTTGATTTTTCCCTTATTCTACAAAATTCAATGTGTGCAACTGCAAAGCCCACATTACCTACAGCATATGAGCACCTTCTAGTTACCCCAGTGCTGCTCTGCTGGGTCAGTAACTGAACTCAAGTTGTCCCACACTCAGTTACTGAAATTACCAATTAAATACCTATTAGCAACAACCACAAACCTTTTTCAAAACAAAAGGAGGCTACTGACCTACACAGCCCCAACCAGCCTCTATAAAGTGGGAGTTCAATTAGAAACGGAGAAATAAAAAGTTCTTTCACAGTAATAATGGATCCACCTGATGTGCAATGCCTAGTATACCACCGTGAGAGGCAACACTTTTTCCAACGTGTTTGGGTTGTCATGGTATACAGCACAGGCAGAGAACTTGCAGATACGCACCCCCTCCCCACATCCTGTGAGATTGCCATTTAATGCTGAACAGTCTGGAATATGCAAATAAAACCATGAAACCAAAGAACCTCTGAAACAAAGCAAAAAGAACCAACAGCATTTCTCACAGCTGATATACAAATACAAAATCATTCATCATTTACAATGCATTTAGTATAACAGGTTCCATTCAAAATCATCCACTCAATTTGTGATGTCGTAGCCAACTTCTACTTCTCAAAACTTACGTTCAAATTTCACATTTACAAGCATTGAACCCAAAAGTTAACCATTATAATTATCACAGCAGACTGCCTAATCACTTAAACCTTTTGCATCAAAAAAGATCTGAAAGAGATCACCTGCAATACCCCACACCATTCTACACTTCAAACTTGTCTTAGTTCCCTAC